CCGTTTCCACGCACCGCCCGGGGTTGCTCCCGGCAGCTCAGCAAAGCGTCTCCCCCCACCCCCGTGGGCATCCCCCGCCCCCCAGCGCCCCGAGCGGGGGCAGCCCCCACGGCCAGGGAGCGCACAGGCACCCCTGGGCTCCGGGGTGCCCCGTGGGGAGGACACGGGTGGGCTGTGGGGCAGGGTGATGCTCGCCCCGGCGGCGCTGGGGGCTCTGCCCTCCAGCCCGAGCAGCTCGCCCGGAGTGGAAGCCGGGTGCTCACAGAAGGGCGAAGGGCTCCCGGCGCCGGGTGGGTGCTGCTGCGGCGCGGCGGGGCCCAGCAATCGCTGTGTGTCCTTAGGAATAAGCAAAGTGATGTTGGTGCACAGCTCTGCTACGGGTATAGGAGAGTAATTGCTGCTTTTCTTCTTCCTTTTTAATCAGGAAAAAAAAAATTCAGGTAATATTTAGATCTGTCCTTGGTGGAAATAGTTTGTGGCTATCAGAATTGCCACTTTTCCCATCTTCAGCACTTCAGCCAAGGCCGATTCCTCTTCAGTCGCCAAGAAGCGAGCGTGCAGCTTCTCCCCGCGTTGGTTCCTCACAACCTTCCCTTGGCCAAGGCGCCTGAGCACGAGCAGGACCGTCCGGCCACCGCAGCCCCAGCTCCTTGAGGCTCTCCTACCTGTTGGTTTTACCCTTGTCTGCTCTCCGTGGTATTGTATTGTGTTAGGGAACTGCCGAGAGGTTTCGCTTGCAGACTGCCTGGGTAAACGTGCTGCTGACTTTGCCATAGGTGAATTTGGTCCTCTCGGCTCAGTTCAGTGCCTGCTCTACCCAATCTGCACTGCAGCAGTCCATATGGCTGGAGTATTTACGTAACGCCAAGTTATCCTGTGAAATATGAAGCAATTTATTTTGATTAGTGAAGTGGGTCAGTAAAATACAAAGGCTTTCGGTCCATGGGTCTGCAAAAAAAGAAGTCCTACCGCTCCATGGTACTTTTTCCCCCTCCTGTCTGCCCTCTGATGCGGGCCTGACGAGCCCTCTCCGGGAGCTGGAGCGCACCAAGCCGCTCCCAGCAAGATCTGTGACGGTGTGAGTCAGTTTGATGCCTTTTCTGTGGCAGGTGTTTATCTGGCCCCAAGAGTTTTATGACACACTACCTTGCCAGAGAGAGTTTCCTTCTCAAAGGCATCTCGGCTGCCTTTGGGAGGCCCCTTTCCTCCTCCAGCAGCGCTCTGAGGGTTCCAGCTAAAACAGCATTTCATGGCCAAACCCAGAGGCTTGGGGTTGTCATCAGGCACGGCAGAAAGAGGATGGCAGGGTTGGGAACCCCCCCTGGCTCCCTGCCGTGGCTGGGTATGGCTGGTGATGCCCGGCCCAGGGGAGCCAGGGCAGCGCTGGGACAAAAGCGGCCAAGGCGTATGGAGGCGTGCAGAGCGCTCAGCGCTTCCGTAGCACCTTCGCTAGGATCCTGTAGTGCTTTTGTTGCTGTCTTCCATCAAACCTGTCCCAGTGCTTACAGGGACTGCAGAGACTTGTTATTTGCAGCCTTCCTAAGGCTTCTGGTTCTCGCTGCTGATCCTGCCCCTGCGCAGCAGTTCCAAAACCCCCGAAGCCCCTCAGGACCTCGCCTCTGGTGCTGTGGGCTTTGCTTCAGGAAATGCTGGGGGAAAATCTGCATTTCCCCCAGGTTCTTCACTTCTGCGTGTATTGCCCTGGTTACTTTCCCTCCTGTTTGCTCTCTGTGCTCTATAGCATTTCAATGCAATAGGAGTGGAGCAGAGGGGAGCTAAGGAGGGGGACAGGCAGGATGCGTTTTACTGGGCAGACCAGTCTCCCTTCTGTGCTGGTTTGGTTTTGGGGTTGTTTCTGTTTTATTTTGTTTTGGTTTGGGTTTGTCTTCTTTTTTTGAGAAAAGGGATGCTATAGAAAAGGCTGAAAAGACTGCAGGTCTAATTCTTCTGCCACAGGCAGGAACGCAAAGCAAAAATAACGTTACTGCAGGCAATACAATTACACCAGTGTAGAACTGGTCTGAGAGGCAGCTGAATTGGTACCCACTTCTGTTAACACCTGCATGGTATTGACAAAGCTGTTCATGTCACTGAACCAATTTAACCAGGAATCTTTTGTCATCCATACTACATTATGCCGAGACCAAGGTGACAGTTGCAATAAAATAAACACTCTGATACTATGGTGATGGAGACCGTATAAATACCTAGATAAGAAAAAACAACAAAGCTGCACTACAATAGATAAGCAAAATAACCCCTGGGTCTCCTGATGCAAAGAAAGAACTAGAAAATATGATGAAGATTTCAGCTTTCCCCAAATCACTGAATCATGCAGTAGGATCTGTTACTGCTTTTGCAGATTTAGGAGCTGTATGGGTATAATGGAATAATGGAGCCCCTATTATTTTTAACTCTTCTCTTGCCTCTTCCAAAGCGCTCTCTGTAGCTAGCTGATTTATCACTCTGTAGCTGAAAAGAGCTGAGCACAGCTATCAAGGACCCTCGGAGATGATTTAGTTCTGAACAGCAGCCAGCAGGCACATTTGTATTTGTGATGGATGAATATCATTTTGGACAGTCCAGGGTGCTCCCTCCAGGGACCAGCAGCCCTGGCTGCCCAGTGCCCTCTGCCACAGCCGGCTGCCCAGTGCAGAGGTGAGGTATGTGCATATTCGATCTGTTCAACGCCAACCTTTGTGTGAGAACAGCAGAGTTACAAATGCATAAAGGATATTTTTTTAAGTGGACAAATCTCTTTAATCCCAGGAGCTGGAGCCCTAGGGAGCAGGGAGTGGAAGCTTTCTCTCCTGTTTGTGCAGCCTGCTGTACATAAAACATCTCCTGTGGGGTAATGCTGATTCCGCATTTAAGTCTCCTCTGCGGAGTGGGAACAGTATGATCCATTATGGGATGGAGACAGCTTTGCGATGGGAAATAGTAATGGGTAGACTCCACGGAGCGAGAAAGCCAGCTCCTTTTGTTTGTGCATCTAGCTGGTACACAGCTGAGCTGCTGGTTGTGCCCGTGTCGTCTCTGAGGTTCCCGGAGGGATCGTCCGCTCCAGCCCCTGCCTGCGCACCCCCATCCCCAACATGCTTGAAGCAGGACATGGCAGTGGCTATGGGGCTGTTTTGTTGGTTTTTTTTTTTTGTAATATAAGGGCTTGTTCTCAGGGAGACTACAGCAAGGACAGGATCTCTGGTGACACTACAGCACCGCTGCCTGTGCGGAGCCCACGCGTGGAGGGAGCAGGACCCTTTCCAAAGCCCTTTGCCTTGTGCAGCCGGACAAGAAGTATGAAACCAGCACACATCTCTGAGCTGCTCCACGGTTAAGTTTGCAGAGTAGTGTATATGCAAAAATCTTTCTTTTATGTCTTCTAAAATCTAGAGCTGTCATTAGAACAGCTTGAGCATGGTGTGTAGCTAGTACAAATACAGTGCATGTAAGGTGGAGTATTCCCTTCTGTCACAGACAAACACTTTGGACTGGAGTTTGGAAATGTGCTGCATTTTGCTGCAGTCTTTCTTTGCAGATCTCTCCCTCTCTGTTTCTCTCCCTCTCTCTCTCACACACATTCAGTCTCTCCCCTTCTTTCCTTCTCTTTCTTTCATTGTTCCCATCTCAAAAGTCGCTTTCCTTCTAAATTGCCTGACATTTACATCCAGTGAGAATGAGGAGTGTGTTCTTTGTACTAGTAGGTCTCAGCGATGCTATAGGGACACAGATCCTTTCATTACAAATAATTAATTTAGCTATATATTGCATAACATCCTAAAAAGCTTTCTAGGGCAATCTCATGCTAGCTGGATGCACAGTTCCTATCAATATTACATTACATTTGGGTACAACAGTTATGAAGTTTCATTAAAAATTTAATTTGTGGTTTAAAACTGCAGCATTCCCTTAAAAGTGTAGCAGAGAAACCATTTTGGCTGCTTGAGGACTGATCCTGCATGAGCCCAAATTGCAGGGAGAGCTGCAGAAGGGGCTCGGTACCACGGCAATACTCCCTGCACAGGAATCCAGCGGGCTGGACCGGGAGAAGGAGGGAGCTCAGACTTGGCATCTGGCTCTACGGTGTCCTGTTGGGTTCCTGCCAGCTGCGAGATGCTTTTTTTGGGTACAGAATTGAGCATTAACCTGTGTCTCTGGTTAGCAGCCACACGTGAGCACAAAAACGGCCTTGCCCCATTCTCAGCGCACCCCCCTCCAGCCACATACGCCAATCTGGGGTTAGTTTATGTGAAAAGGC